TATGCTAATATATGACTGGAAACAATTATTCAAAATCATGTACAAAACAGTTTATAACTTAAAATAAAAAAAATCAAATGAAAACTCTAGCAAAGGAACTTCAGAACCTCGTCCAAACATATTTGGAATGTCATCATGTGGCATTCCTTTTCCATTATCCTGTTTTAAAACCAATTAGAGTCATGAGAGCTACAGTGGTAGAGAATCAAAACAATGCATATGATGTAGATTATGCAAATAAGAAACCATCATATGCTTGGAGATTTCTAGATGGGGAGTACATCATACCTTGCATGTAACCTTGTAAAATGAAGCCTCACCTCGACTCTTCATGGTCTTTGAAGCTGGAGGCTCTTTGACTTTCTTTCCAACAGAAGCATTTTTCGCTTGTATTTCTTGAGCACGAGCTTCCTTTGCTAATCGTTTCTGAATAGAAAGAACAAATAACAAGATGAACAAATAATAATAATAACAACAACAACAAAGAGATAGCAGAAATAGTCACAGAATCTGATACTTCATTCATATATTGTGTTCTCAAATTCAACAAGTTCATTTACTTGTAAAGTAATTGGAAGAGGCAAGGTATGATTCATTAAGACGGAATCCCCGCATCAAGACCAACAAAGCACATAAACTTTGGAAAAGAGAGAGAATAATGTCGATGAAAACTAAAACATCCCAAACCAAAACATGCACAATAAAAGATACATCAAGGAATTTTCCCTTTTTCTGGTGGAGAAGTTGTAACAAGGCTTTTGATTTCTTTGCTTTACCACAGAATTAGATGTACCTCTACAATATACTGCAATTGGCAACAACATACATAGCAACAAAGTCACATCATAAGTATGCACACCTCACGAGCCTTAGCTGTTTCATAATCATCGTATAGTGCCTCGTCAACACGGTCTCGATCAATAAGACCAATCATAGAATTGAACTTGCTTTTCTCAATATCTTCACTGTAATAGCCAATTCAGATTCAGTTCAAATAAATAGAAATCCGCTGTCAATATGGACAAACTTTATCAACTATATTCACCCCTCATCATATGAATCAACATGGCTGAGCATTTTCATATACATATACTAGCAAGTACTTACATCGTTATTTCTATCACAGGAAGCTCAGATATGGACTCCGTGGAATCAAGTGAGTTCTCGACGAGTTCCCTTACAGTAGTGTAAAGACATTTTCCTGGCTGAAAATTCACAAAGAAGAATAGGAGGTTAAAAAACACACAATTTAAAATTCTAAGCCCTTTGCTTTTGTGAATTAATCAATTAACATTCAGAATAAGCTAAGGCCCGCACGAACTTTCTCTTCCATGCTCTAAAGTTTACAGCTGGCTTTATAGAATTTTAATTTTCAGTTCATGTGTGTGTGAGAAAGAAAACCAAATTAGTGGTGATAAGAAAGTGGGGAAAAGCCAACTTCCAACCCATATGATCAGAAAAGCATAGGAGAACAAAATTGATTTCCCAAATTCATCAAACTTTGTGAATTCATAACAAAACTTTAGGGAACAAATTCAACCTCAATTACATCCTACTATTTAAAGTACAAAATATAAAGATATCAACTTCAGCAAAAACGAAAGGAAAAACAATAAAAACAGAGAAGCAAAAGCATACATTATCAAAACCAGCAATGTTTTTATTCTCCGCAAAGAACTCAGCTGGTGATTCTGCACAAAATTGAAAACAATGCAATCAATACTCGAACCCACACATGCATACATAAAACACAGAGAGAGAGAGAGAGAGAGAGAGAGAGAGAGAGACGAACTCTGCTCAAGAACACTATCTTTGGGCTTTCTGGGTGTCTTTGATTGGCGTTTCGTAGGCTCTGTTTGGCTCTTACTGCTACCTCCAGGTTCCATCCTCAACCCAATAAAATTTGCACCCAAGAATCCTAAAATTTTAATTTTAATTTATAAAAAAAAACCCAGAACAATGAAGAAGAGGAGGAAGAAGAAGAAGGAGGAAAGCTAGGGCTTTGTTCGGTACAGTCTGAGGAGGCCTCAGTAAGATCTATGGTGCGGTCACCCACCTGCATAGCCGTTTGACGGCGGGCTCTGTTTTTCTTTTTCTTGGATAAAATGGAACCGACCGAAAAAAGAAAAAATAAAATCACTGAGATACGAGAATTGAGATGTGATGAAAATGGACGGTGTAGATTGGGGACAAGGTTAGACAGTTGTTGCACATGTGTGCAGGCGACCAAAACTTCAGCCTTTGGAGCTTTTTGTTTCCCGCCAAATTTATAAGGAGTGAAGGACTTGAATATACTAGTGTAGTGATTTGGAGTAAATGTTACTTCCAGAAAGATTTCAGGTTCGAGTTTATATGTTATGATTATTTTTTATAGGAAATTAAACTCTTCACACACGCTTCCTTGCTTACGAGAGACTCTTTTTAAAAAAATTTAAATTTATTTTAGAATTAAAAAAGATAATGGGTAGTTGTGTTCTATAAAAATAGGATCCATTATCTGATTTTTCTTAATGTTTGCATTAACCAAAGACATTTTATAGTATTTTGAATGTTTTACTATTCTCTACATTTTGCTCTATATATATAGATGTCTTTATAAAAAAAAAAAATACTATTTTGTTTTCTGAATTTTTTTTTTTTTACCATTTTGTTTCAATCAACTCAATGTGGACACTTGTTAGTCACAATTAAATGAACAAAAAAAAAAAATTGAATTCTCTTATTTAAAATTCAAAAAGGAGATGAATAACTTAAAAATGGCTAAAACACTAAAAAATAATTGTTCGTTAGCAAGGGGAGTTGTTTTTTTTGTGTGTGGTTATTTTTTTATAGACTATATTACCCTTTTGCACTAAAGATTAAAAAATTAATTAAACTATAATTTTGGACTTGGTTGCAATAAGAGTTAACTACGAGGATGTGACTGGAAGAACTGAAACTACACATTATACGAAGAAAAGGCCGAGCTAGAACAAGGGCCACATCGGTGAGCATGTGCATGCATAGTGCTTCAATTTTCTTTTTCACGTTGCAGTCAAGGACCACTATTTGATGATATTGTTAATTTTATTTCCATTTATTTGACTATGTACTTCTTTCACATAATTTCTTTTTTGATGTTAAGAACTGAATTTCCCTTTCCCGATTCACATGTGATACATAATACATATAACCAAATTTAATTCACGTGTGGAAATTTAATTTTCACATGGTTATTTTGGTGCGATGATGTATGTATGAGTGTGATGAGATGAGCTTTGAATATTCTTATTACTATGGTACAAGGATGGCAGGGACCATTTTATATATGGCTAGCCTAGGTGACACCGTGACAGGGAAGTTTTATATGGACCACTAATTAATTTACTAAATTGTGAACCAGGCGTTTTGATGTTGTGTTCATTCAAACTTACATTAGTTTGGCAAATAGCGCCTCAATTAGTGATCTCGGGTTTGAATTTATATGGTACTTTTACAGTAATTAGACTATTGCTTATATATATATTTTTAAATGTTTGCATTCTAATTTTTACTCGTTTAATTATAAACATACTAATAATTTTATAGTTAAGAATAATTGAAAACAACATGGATCCAAAGATGGCTTTAATTTGGGGAGGGACAGAAGGAGCATCTATGCCAACCACCACAGTTTATCAAAAGCCATACAAGTGGTTCAAGGGAAGCGAGCAACGACAATCTGGTCCGCATATATGTTATGCTTTAGTCGCAGACCTGACCAGAAACCATTTGTCTTTCTTGGATAAATATCTGTCAAGTTCCGATTCCATACCATTCATCCATATGCCCACAGATTATCAACCCGATCAAAGACAAAAGGCAATCTGGTCCAAAGTAATCCAAGCATGAGGACCCCTACCTTATATATATTGGCTGTCAAATTGCAACAAGTTATAGAATATTACGGTAATATGGTTACATGATACATTTTGTACACGTGTTATAATATGAATGAACGACATGGTTTATTTTCTCCCCTTTTAAGAAATAGAATATATAAATATTCACTTATATTGTAACACGTGTACAAGATATACCATGTAACCATACTATCGTAGCCTATTCTATTTCTATTCCGAAAGATCGGATTCTATACCACTAAGCGCCATTCGAACTTCCTGGCTAACACTATTCTATAATCTCTCATCAAATTGTAGCTATCACGGAAATTACCTGACTAATTAATTTATAATTTAATGTAATGCACTTATGGAAAACGTTTATTCCAGAATCAAGATTTAGTTCTTGGTGTGTATGGTAAGAATTACATGATTTTACATGACAACTGGTGAATAGAAATGCACTGATTTTTTAACTTAAAAGAGAACAAAGTTTAGTGAGTATTTCTCTTCCCACCTAATATTAGAAGTGGTTTCACGTTTGAATCATTTTTCTCCGTTGATTAAAAAAACCTTACATTTGAATCCTCATTCCTCGTTGATTAAAAATAAAAACATAAAAACTTGATAACATAAGTGTAGCTTGTATGTATATACTTTATCCTAAAATTTTGAACTCCAGATTTATAAATAAAATAAATCTGAAAATGAATGAAATCGTGACCCATATATCATAATCCTAACTCATTACTTCACCCTCACTAATCACGTTGGCTAGCCCTTGCATAGAGCATTTAAGTATCTGATATTTTATTCTTTAGACGTTGAAGTTTCAGCTAATAATAGTCCAATTTGTTTGGAAAAGAACCTATTTGTGCTTCACTTGCATTCTAGTTTTTCACCGTTCGTACTTCAGTCTTCATTCATCTCACTTTTTTTTTTCTTTTTTTGGTATTTTCATGTGCAACTTGGGAAATGCCATTCACATGTTAATCAATGCAACTCTCTAGAATCTCTTTCCTCTATTTAAGGATAACTCCATTTAGCCTAAGGCTCCAAGCAAACCTAGGACACTCTCATCCTAGTTATCCTCTCCTTCCCTGTGCAAATACTCTGCAAATAAAAAAATAAAAAAAAAAGATGTTGAAGCCCCAACTTCACCAATCTCGGTCTACCCAAACTCTCTTTCTTCACAAACCATTCATCCATGGCAGTCGTAGAAGTACTTCACTTCCTATCTGGTCAAGGCCCTCACTCCTCAAGAAACACAGAAACGTACGAGTTGGCTTGATTCCTAGCAACACAAAAGCCGTAAGTACTAGTAGTAGCAGTAGTGATAGCAGTAGTACTCCTACTACTACCACTAAAACTACTAGTACTACGACTATGACAACAACTCCTACTACTATCCAGAGTACTACGCCTACTACTCCTACTACTCCTACTACCACCACCACCACCACTATTGTGACGACTGAAGTCGTCACCGAGAAGTTCATTAGTGTTAAGGCCACCATAACTGTGACGCTTACAGTTGGAGGCTTTCTCTCACACCTTGGTCTAAAACGAGGGCTTGATGATATAACAGACATGCTTGGTCAATCGCTCTTATTGGAGCTTGTTAGCGCTGAGCTTGATCCCAGTAAGTATGGAGTTTGGCAGAGCATGCATGTGCATTCAAACCACAGCTTAACTAACTTCTCATTGAGTAACCCTAGCTAGGTGAATGTTTTTTTTATTTAAAGATTTGTTTAAAGATTTGGTTTCTTGGTCATCTTTAAATTTTCCTTGATTTCTTAAAGACAGCTAGCTAACTATTTCTTTTGATTTTGGGACCAGATAACACAGCTAAATTTTTCCAGACAGATTTGTCTTCCAAATCTATTTTTAGTTTACGCTATAACTAGTCATTCATAAATAATTTTTTTATATGTATTTAACAAACAAAAGACGATATATCTTCGCTTCTATCCTAACGTATCTTAATGTGTGAAGGGAAATGGAGATAGTGATGAGAGAGGACCATCTCAGTATCATTCGATTGGTGAGAATCATGGTTACGCGAGAAAGGAAAAGCCTTGTTTTTTTTTTCAGAGATGGTCCATACAAGCTAAAATGAAGCACACAAAATTGGCATGCATGGACCATTTATGGTCCCAGAGAGTCGGAGGAAATAGGAAACTATAATTGTTAATTGACATACTTGTACCGTCTTAAAAAAAAAATTATTTATTTGATTTTCAGCAATTGATATTAATTAATCAACTTGAGAACTTGCGTCTCAAACCTAGGATCCTTGCCCTCCCACTACACGCCCCATGTCACTTAAGTTAAGCTCGGTATAGTATATGTTGTTATGACCACATACTCAAACACGATTTTCATCTCACTAACTCTCAATTTAGTGATATTTTATTTCAAATGTCGCAAGAAATCCAAGTTCGAATTCCCCTATCATGTTGATAGAAAATAAGATTTCATCTAATTATTTAGTAGATCTTAACTGACCATATCCATACACATATAATTTAGGAACTATATATATCCATTAATTATATGCATGTAGTAATTAGGAAATGATTTATTAATTTGTTAAGTTTTTGCGGTGAAGAAACTGGATTAGAGAAGAAGGTTGCAGGGTTCGCACACAGGTGCCGCCGAAAGGAAGGTGAGATAATATACGAGACAGACTTCAAAGTTCCAGTCCATTTTGGGGAGATGGGTGCTGTTTTGGTAGAGAATGAACACCACAAGGAGATGTTTCTCAAGGATATTGTCCTCGATGGCCTCCCCTATGGCTCTGTACATCTTAGCTGCAATTCTTGGGTCCACTCCAAGTATGACAATCCTGAGAAGAGGGTCTTCTTCACCAACAAGGTCAGCCATTTCTAATCACATATAATATATATCTAGACCTAAATTTCTGTAACTAAATATGCTGAATTAATTAAATTTTTAGAAAGAAATTTTGTCTCTCTTCAAAAATAGACGTCATATGTGAAAGGCTAGGTGATGACAACATGAGAGATATAAGCATTGACAAGTTTGGTGGGTTTGATCGGACTGGATTATTTCAATTAATATTGGTCAAGGGTCATGGAAAAACTTATTAAATTGGACAACAATCCAACATATATATTGTGTCTTATAAATCTCATCTAGAGGGGTGAGACTCATAAGGACTGACTTGGACTCCAACCAATCCAAACCGAGCCACCAAACAAGGCTAGGACATTTATAAAAATAAAAAATAAAAAATAAAAAATAGACGTCATATCTTCGTTTTGAATGGTTCATGATTTTGTGCATTTGTGTGGAGCAGTCATACTTGCCATCTCAAACACCAAATGGGTTGGTGAGGCTAAGGGAAGAGGATCTTGTGACTTTGCGTGGCAATGGCCAAGGAGAGCGGAAGTTCTTTGAGAGGATATATGATTACGATGTTTACAACGATCTTGGGGAGCCTGATAAGAATTTAAGACTTCAAAGACCAGTACTTGGTGGCAAAGAATTCCCTTATCCCAGACGTTGTAGAACTGGACGACCACAATGCGAAACAGGTACCAAACTACACATGTAGGGCACTATTTTCTTGCCAAACAGTTTGGCATGTTGTATTATTAGATGTCCAAATCACGCACAAAAATTCAAATAAGAATCTACTCGATTAATTACCAATTCAGATTGAAAATCTTGGTAAGTTTTGCAAGAGATGTTAAATTAAAATGATTAACTAATGGTTATGCATACAGATTCCTTATCCGAGAAAAGGAGCAACAAGTGGTACGTTCCTAGAGATGAAGCCTTCTCAGAGGTAAAGCAGCTAACATTTTCAGCAAAGACAGTCTACTCTGTGATGCACGCATTGGTACCATCTCTGGAGACGGCGATGGCTGACAATGATCTTGGATTCGCATACTTCACCGCCATTGACTCACTTTTTAGCGTGGGGATTAACTTGCCTCCCTTCAAGGAACAAGGGATTCTCAAAACCCTCCTTCCCAGGCTAGTCAATGTTATGGCTTCTGGAGATGATGTCTTGCGTTTTGTACCCCCGGAAACTATGAATCGTAAGCAAATATATGTATACATCTAAGAAAAATTTCCTCTTTATCTCTTACCAAACAGTCTGACATGTTATGTTATCAGTTGATTAAGTGAAATTATGTCAAGGATATGTGCGGTCTAAATGTACATGTCATATAACAAGTCCATATATCTGTGTGTACATGTATGCCCCTACGTTCTCTCACCCTCTCTAGCTAACTGGTAAGTCTTTTTTGGTTGGGGTATTTTCAGGGGACAAATTCTTTTGGTTTAGGGATGAGGAATTTGCTAGGCAGACTCTTGCAGGTCTGAATCCATACAGCCTCAAGTTGGTGACGGTACGATTTAGTTATTTATAGAGTGACACTATGTATGAACACAATTAAAGAAAATCTTATTATTATTACTTTATACATGCTCACATATGGGCAAAATGTAACCAAAAAAACTGCAGGAATGGCCATTGAAGAGTGAATTGGACCCCGAGATCTATGGCCCGCCGGAATCAGCGATCACGAAGGAAATAATTGAGCAAGAGATTAGAGGCTTCCCAACCATTCAGGAGGTAGTATGATAATGAATTAATTAAGATTTAAAAGAGAAGTGTATTAACAAGTATAATAATCCTGGTATATAATATATGCAGGCCATAAGAGAGAAGAAATTGTTTATTTTAGATTACCATGATTTGTTTTTGCCCTATGTGAGTAAAGTAAGAAAGATCGAAGGCACCACGCTATATGGATCGAGGACTTTGTTTTTTCTAACCCGGGAAGGAACACTGAGGCCACTGGCTATTGAGCTCACAAGGCCGCCAATGGACGGAAAGCCACAGTGGAAGCAAGTTTTCCAGCCATCTTGGAACGCCACCGGGGTCTGGCTTTGGAGGCTTGCCAAGGCACATGTCCTTGCCCACGATTCTGGTTACCATCAACTCGTTAGTCACTGGTAAATATAGTCCAAATATATCTCATTGAAAGATTTTTTACTACTGCTGCCTTTTCTTTGGTTTTAGGTTTCAATGTTCATCCAATATTTAGGGAATCCACTTCTTTTGCAGGCTAAGAACACATTGCGTCACAGAACCTTATATAATCGCAACGAATCGACAACTCAGTGTCTTGCACCCAATCTATAGATTGTTACATCCCCATTTCAGATATACGATGGAGATTAATGCTCTTGCTCGCGAATCGCTCATCAATGCCGGCGGTATCATCGAAAGCTCGTTCTCTCCTGGAAAATACTCCCTTGAGATTAGCGCAGTTGCCTATGGCAAGGAGTGGCGGTTCGACCAAGAGGCGCTCCCGGCTGACCTTATTAGAAGGTAATTTAATTTACTCTCAGCTGATCACATCTATAGTTCATATTGACAGTTTGACAACTACGCATGTCGCGTCAAATATCTAGTTAGAGAACTTGATGATTGGGTTCAAATTAACAGTTTGACACCATAACATTATTGTGACAAGTGAACAATTCCCTATATTATTATCTAATTTTATGATATCTTTTGCACTGTTTAACTAAAATCTTGATGTTCAATTTGTATTTTCTAGGGGCATGGCTGTTGAAGACCCAACCGCACCGCATGGTCTAAAGCTAACAATTGAAGACTACCCTTTTGCCAATGATGGTCTCCTCATGTGGGATGCCATCAAACAATGGGTCACTGACTATGTAAACCACTACTACCCAGACTCCAGCGTTGTACAGACTGATGGAGAACTCCAAGCATGGTGGACAGAAATCAAAACAGTAGGCCATGCAGACAAAAAGGACGAACCATGGTGGCCAGAACTCAACACCCGTGAAGACCTCATTGGCATCATCACCACAATGGTGTGGGTCACATCTGGCCACCATGCAGCTGTCAACTTTGGGCAATATGTCTATGCGGGTTATTTCCCTAACAGGCCGACAATTGCAAGGACCAATGTGCCCACAGAAGACCCCTCGCCAGAGTTTTGGAAAAACTTCTTGAAAAAGCCTGAAGTTGCACTTTTGCAGTGCTTCCCTTCACAAATCCAAGCAACAAGAATCATGGCTGTTCTGGACATTTTGTCAAATCATTCACCGGATGAAGAGTACATTGGAGAGAAGATGGAGGCGGCATGGGCTGAGGAACCCGTTATAAAGGCGGCGTTTGAACGCTTTAAGGGGAGGTTGTTGGTGATTGAAGGAATTATTGATGATAGAAATGCCAACAGTGAGTTGAAAAACAGAAATGGAGCTGGGGTTGTGCCTTATGAGCTTTTAAAGCCTTTTTCACAACCTGGGGTCACAGGAATGGGAGTTCCATATAGCATCTCTATTTGAAACTGATAAGTAGTTAGTGTGTCATCTGCTTCTCAGTTATTTTTCTTTTTCTTTTCTTTTCTTTCAACATATAGTATTAGGTAAGGCAAGTCCTACCCATAGTCACGAGTCATGACATTTAGGCATGGTACATGTTAGAAATTAAACCAAGCTTAAATATTTTATCTTTTGTGAACTTCAGCCCTGGTTTCGACCAAAGCCCTGGTGTTTTCAGGCTTTTAGGTCAGATATATAATTGATCCTTGGGGTTCTTTGAGTGTGTGTATTTGCTGATAAAGAGAAAGTAATATTTCACATCTTATTGTAGTTATCTCACTCTTGGTTTATGTGAAACTATTTTTGTGCTTTGTTTTACCATACCCTGGGTCCGGGACACGACACTAGCTTTCCCCCACAAACTTGACACAAGCTTTCTCCATTTTGCAATGTAGAAAGTGCGAACTGCATTATACTCGCGCTATATTGATTTCAAGGTTTAAGGTGAAATAAATAGTATGAAGTGTTACCAAAAATGAAATAATCTATGTCATGGTTCTACGTATATTACAAAATATTGACATCACACACGCGTGTGCATATATATATATATATATATATGTGGATGTTATTATTGTGCGGTGCGGATGCCGTGTATTTTATATTACCCCTCTTTACTTTTATTCCTATTTACTATAGCATCCGCATAATTAATTATAACGTGCAGATATACAAATTAAAAAATAACTATATATATTGTGCACACTGTAAAAGTTAGGTGGTCTAAACGTGTATCACACACACATATATGGTCCACACTGCATGCTTAAGAATGGACTAGTCTAATGTGGTCCACAAATCCATGTGATCATGATTCCACATACACACAAGTACATATATATATATCTTCCGAAAAAACTACAAACTCAATAATACAAAATCAGAAACCCTACGTGTAATCCAAGCTATGCTTTTCAAGTTGGCCCTGCCTTCTGGGGCTACAGATGGCCTAGCTTTTTGCCAATGTGTTTTGTACTCCTCCGGTTGTGTCAATATCTTTATAGGCTAGCTTATCCAGAGATGTAACTTTCAGACAAAAGCAACTTTACCCTTAATAATTAAAGCAATTTTCGAATTTATAAAAGCACATTATTTGTTGGGAATCTCCCTCTACATAATTGTTTATAGTGGATTATATTAGTGAAGAAATCAGTGTATGTACTAACACTAAATAACCTCTAATTCTATAATATGTGTGTGGATCTTGTTGCATGATGAGTCTCTCATGGAGATTTTTTAGGATGAGGTTGTGGATGAGAGTAATGCTACACTTATCACATTTTTATCCAACATTTCTATACTACATGATGTGGCAAGTCCATATTATATGCCACATCAATTAAATCAATGAAGTGATTTTAATTAAGACAATTAGAAAAATAAATACTGGAATAAATCATAAAAGAAAAGAAAATATTAAATCATTTTAATTGATGTGGTAGTCCACCTCAACTGCCACATAAGATGGTATAAGAATGTAGTAAGAGTAGCATTATTCTATCCCACATTCATGCAAAATTTACGATGGGATAATAATTGTTTTTTCTCTTAATTAGTTAGGAAGGTGTATAGTTCTTTCTCTCACTAAAATGAATTAATATCAATATTATATGAATGTGTGTGTGTATATATAAAAGCAGCGGCGGATCCGTAACACCACAAATTTAACACAAATTTTCAACCATTAAATTAGACTACAATAAATGGCTGAGATCAAACAAACTAATTCTTCCAAATTTTTGAAAGAATTATATATGCGATGTTAGTAGTTAGACTACTCATGGAGATAGTGAAACAAGAGAGCATCTACGAAAGGGCCTTCAGTTCATTGCCCATACATGCATCTGTCTCTTCAATAATTCACGATTTGTATCCTTGTGATATATTTCGTTCGTATGTGTGAAAGCCACAGTACATGGAAAAAGCTTAATTAGCTCCAATAATTGCTAGCTATAACAAACTTCGAGGTCTAAAATATATACAACAAGACACGGGATAATTAATTGGTGATGATCTGGCTTAGAGAGAGACAATGAGAAATAGTCAATGTAGTGGAATATCCCATGTGACAAGATAAAGGCTTTTTGTTGCTTACTAAACAAATTAAATGTCTCCTTTTGATGTCATGCAACATGTCTTTGTAAGAGAAAATAATATTGGCCAAATTTTTGAAAATGAGCTTACAAACCAAATTGAAAAAGTCAAAACCTGTAGTACCTACGTATACGCCTCTATGATATGTCATTTATGTGAAGTGCTTGTTTAATCCTCTAGCAAAAGATGTTACTTAATTAGCAACAAGTAGCTAGTAGCTTAAGTGGTTAAGAGTATTTACTCCTACATCTGAGGTTCTACGTTCGATTTGCCCCTCCACCACCATTGCTTTGTATATAAAAAAAAAAAAAGAAGACCTGCTTAGTTTTGACCCAAAAAAGAAAAAGACATGCGGCTTTTTGAACCAAAAAAAGAAATAAAAAAAGAACCTGCTTGGTAAAGTCATTTGAATAATTAGTCATACCATATCAGCACCATGATAATGCTGTAACCAAGCTTATAGAAGAGTTTTTCTTCCATTGCAATCATGATTTGATTTTGGGACTCCAAAAGTTTAATTCCCAAATAATTAGTCTCTAGGATTGATCACAAGGCATATTCAGGTTATATCTGTTTATTAGTTGGAGAAGTTCTACTCATATGTTGTGTGAGCTAAATATCTCGATTGACATTGTTCTCTCTCTCGACCCAGAAAGAAAAAGACATTTGTATATGTCTTAGTATTTTCTGAGAAATTGTTTGAACCAACATGCTGAGAGTTTAGGGTATCTTTTCAACCCATCTTTATAATCAACATAGTTAATACCAAACCGAACAGTGTATCCTAACGTCCATTCAAAGTTGTCTAGCAACGACCACGCAAAGTACCCTTTCACATTGACACCGTCTCTGCAAAAAAGGAGGTGGTAAATAAAATATCAGAGATATAACTAAGAACCCTATAACTAATTATATTGTTGAACGAATCTCACGCAAAGGTGAAACTCACTTGATCGCTGCTTCAAGGTAATAAAGATGGCGAAAGTGATAGTCAACTCTTTGGTTGTCAACTAGGGCTTCCTCAAGAGATAACTTGGGATCATTAAGCTCATCAACGCCTAGAGTACATGGGGAAAAGTTAATGTTTAGTTTTCCGTTTGACATCTACAATCCATTCCTTGTAGTTTACCACCCTCTATCTGCCCATAAAAACTAAAATATATATAATGTTAACTGAAGAGATGGTTACCATTCTCTGTGATGTAAATAACCGGATTATGATATTTTCTCTTGGTGTAGAGCAAAACATCTCTAATGCCCCTCGGATAAATATACACAGTTTCTGAAGCAGCCTGCAAGATCGACCATCAATCATAAGGAGTACTTATGGATATTGAAGAGGATATTATAAGGTTTACAAAATTTGATACACACCTTTGGCCCAATGGGAATTCCATTACGCACGGCTGGCAAAACAAAGACAGACAAGATGTCGTAAACAAGATAACATATAAGAGTAATTTTATTTATTACATCGCCAATCTCTATAAAGAAAATGTGGTCAGGAACTAATTACTGAGTAAATTGATAACTGTGAGTTTAGAATTTATACGTGAAATTGAAGTAAGGGAGTCTTTTAAGTAGCTTGCATTTCCAGCGCGTAGTTGCGGTGCATCGGATACATAGTTAGATGTATAATAGTTCAATCCGATAAAGTCAAATGATCCCTTCAGCAATTCGGATTGCTCCTTCTTGAACTTAGGTAATCGGCTTCCAACAAGAGATCGCATACTGTACGGGTAGTCACCATTTGTCAATGGGTCCATAAACCATCCAAGCAGAAAATCTAAGGATCTAAGTGCTGCATCTTTGTCCTTCTTTGCCTCAGAAAATGGCACAACCCACAGTGACACCAACGTTATTCCTATCAATCCCTTTTGAGAATTCTGCACATGTCACAACGTTTCAATTAATGTTTTATCTCATTATAACTGCACACATTTTCCTTAATATATACGTAAAATACTGAATTAAGAGGGCCATTGTTGTTGTAGATTACCTGATATTTTTCCTTATATAACTTAACGGCTGTTGCATGAGCAAGAAGCTGGTTGTGTGTGACCAAATATGGCTCAACTCCTGAATCTCCCCCAGTGCAGTTGCGTTTTAGCCACTCAGAACATCGTCCCGGTGCTAAATCCCCAGTTGCATAACCAGCCACACTTAAGGCCAGTGGCTCATTGAATGTGATCCAGTGCTTCACCCGCTCACCAAATTCTTTAAAACAAAGCTCTGAATAGTCCTTAAAATGCTTCCTGCATTCATGTAACAATGTTATTGATGATCCCATAAGATTTGACCAAGTTATGTTTGGTTCATTTTACAAATAGATCAGAGGTACTATAACGTTACATCACTTACACAACTTGAGGACTTATGAAGCCACCATATTCATCTTCCAAGCTTTGCGGAAGATCCCAGTGTTTATACCTGCATTCAATAATTAATAGGAAAATAAATTCAATTACCATTATCAGTTTTTGACGACTGGATAATCATAATATAAGATTAATTTATAGAAATTACCATTGGCAAGGAGTTCATTGATGAGGTTGTTATAGTATCCTATCCCTTCCTTGTTCACACCCCCACTTAGTTTCCCATCTAAAATAAAGATATAATATATCATCAGTTTAATAAATTTAATTTAATTAAAGCACCATCAAATTGGTCCCAACCACCAACAAGATTAATGTAATAGCCAAGATTGATACATGCGACCAACTTACTTGGCAGCACTCTGGACCATGAGATAGAAAATCTATAAGCATCCAAATTCATTTCCTTCATAATCCCCACATCTTCCTATTAAAATAAGGGAGTTTCACTAAAACATCCAAAATGAGAGCTGAAATTATAAAAAAATCCAACACTCAAAAACATTTTATAAACACACCCAAAACTCATCATTACACACACTCAAAATTCATTTATAAACACACTCAAAAAATATATAATTGTTGATTTTGGGTGTGTTTCTATGTTTAAATAGTGTTTGAGTTTTTTTTATAAATACATGTTTAGGATTGGGTTTATTTATAAATTTGTATTAAAATAAATGTAACTATAGGAATCAATGGATGACGTTGTTTCAGATTATTATCTCAGAATTAATTTTTAATTAAAAGACATCATATACTCTTCTTTTGGATTTAGTAGATGCTGCTGTACCTTATAGCGATGATATGAATCTACTGCGACATCTCCATTGCTACCATCTTTTATCTTACCTGCAACTCCCCATTCGAATTTAAAAATTAAAATATTATATTAATTTGATTACTAATTGGGCTAAAAAATAAATTATATTCGTAGTTGGCCTATTCGTAAACAGAATTATACTATTATATTGTCTTATATGCAATTCCATTATATTCGTCTCTCTCACTCGTTCATAATACTCTGTTCTGCCGGCATCAAAGGGAAAGTATGCTTTGAGCTCTTCCG